ATGTTTTAATTAGCTGATATTTACAGCTTGCTGGAAATTACTGAGGGATACCTTCCTGACAGATGAAAATCAGCAATTCATTAAGACTAGAGAAATAGTCATGAACTGTCAACATATGCCTTTGCATATACCTTTAGCCTCTTGGACCAGTCAAGCACCTGATCTAAGCAGGTTTTTTTGGGTCTCTTCTCAGTGGAAAGAAACCCTGAAGTTGGTTCATTCTGTGACAATTCACATGTTCAAGGTGGGATGAACCATGTCCTGGGGGTGCTGGTCTTCTGGATCTGATAGCCTGATGAATGAGGCCCCCACTGCAGCAAACACTCTTCAGAATGGTTCTACACATACTGGGCAGCAGATTTTCTCCATTGTTTTGATCACTTCCTGCAGTTCTCACCTCAGCTCCCTTGAGTTCAGAGGGGATAATTTCATAGAATTATAGAGTGCTTTGGGTTGAAAGGGACCTTCACAGACCTTCCAGTCCCAGCCCCACTGCCATGGACAGGGACACCGTTCACTAAATCAGGTTGCTAAGACCCCCATCCAGCCTGGCCTTGAACACTTACAGGGATGGAGCATCCACAGCCTGTGCCAGTGGCCCACCACCCTCACAGGAAAGATTTCTTTCTAATACATAATCTAAATCCACCCTGTTTTAGTTCAGAACCATTATCCCATGTCCTATCAGTACATTTCTCTGAAGTACTTTCTGAACAGAGGTTCTTGTCTCACTCCAGTGAAGGAAGAACTCATTTTAGACCATCAGCTTAGAAAAGACATTGGGAGGGCTAAAACCTCCAGGAATTTCATGCTTTACCTATCTTTGGCTTGTTTAATACAAGTAGGCTACAGAAACACAGGACAGATAGATCCACAGATAAAATAGAGGTGGCAGTGGTTTGGTCAGGGTATTTATCATAGCTATTAGGAACCAGTCTGATCCGTCCAATTCATTTGCCACAGAGCACAGCAAAGCTTTCAGATGCTAATGAATTTCAATATATCCTTGCAAATTAAAGTGTTACCACTTCCTAATTATCATCTGCTAATAATGATCCTCTTCTACAAGCAATCTAAAGAAAAATTAAAACTCCAGCTTGTCAGAGCATTTCTTTTCATCTGAGTACTCACCATTGGTTCTTCTCAGGAAAATGTTGTGGCAGAGAAATTACTGAGGAGCCTGCAATTAAGAGAGATTGCAGTGACAAGTCTGACACAATAGGAAGAAGGTTTCAGAAGGCGCATGGGGAGGGAGGGGGCATCTCATTCATTTAGCACTGTAACACCAATGTGAAATGAAGTAATTAATTTGGGGACAGATTGGTTCTTTCACTCTGCCCTGCTGAATGTGTAAACAAAATCTCAGTTGTTCACTAAGTGTTGAAGAGTTCGACAGAATTAATTGAGGAAACCAACCCTCCACAAGCTGTTAACATTTTTATGGTCAGATAATAATAGGGCCATTTCAGGGAAGACCAGAGGCTGACTGAACAAAATTTCTTGTCCCTTACTCTGGCTAGAAAAGACACTTAGGGACAGGGGCAATGTGGTCTTCCTGTGCTAACACTCCATATGCTAGTCATCAGCATTTAGGGGACTTTCTGAAGAAGTTGCACCAGACCTGTGCTTATATACCAGCATCAATTGGCTTAGAAACCTTCCTCAACACCTAGTTTTGTTCTTCCAGGCACCCTGTGCTAGTAATTTCCACAATTTCTTCAGCCAGGTCATGAAAAAGAATGGTCCTTTTGAGGCCAAACCACCATTTTCTTTTTTCTGTGTCTTTGCTAATTCTTTGCTGTCTTGTAGTTCCCTTTTTGACCACTGCATAGCACAAAACTGATCTTAGCAGAAAATTTTTCACGAGAATTCCAGAATTTTTTTCCTGTGTGCTCTTTTTCAGATTGCCAGTGTATATGGGTAGTTAGGCCTTCTCATTCCCCTGTGAATTCCTCTGTACTTACTGACATTGATTTTTATCTGCCATTTTATTACTCAGTCATTCAGCATACAGTCAGACAAGAAAGGTCCAAATTTGGATTTCTTTCAAGCACCTTGTTTTTCAGTTAAAAGAGGTTTTTCCCCTTTTTCTTTTCCTAACTAGAGCTATGTACACCATGTGATCACTTTTAGTGGTTTGTCTTCTACAAGAAACTCACCGTGTCCCAGTAGCTATTTGCAGCATAGCGTTGTGCTGTCACCTCTTCATGATACAAGGTCTTGACATTTCAAGCAAATGTCACCATGTCACAGCTTTCTATCAGCACAGCTCACTGGTGTGATGCACATGGTGCTACAAACCCTTATTCTGTAAGAGATCTCTGCTTACACAAGGGGAGCCAGCACGATTTCATAGCGTATATATTTCATATCTCAAAACTTGAGGTTTGGATCTTCAACACTACCTGGGTAGTGGCAGCATCTGTTTCCTCTCAGTAACTGTGAGGCTGAACTTTGAGCTATATGCTGAAAGGCTGTAATTCCCTTATGTTCCTATGGAAACATGAGAGGAGCCTTCTGCCAAAGCAAGCCAAGGCCTTGAGCTTCACACACGTAACATGTGAACTACCCATTTCTGTGCCTGTTTGCAGGAGCCAGCTCCCAGCACTGGAACTGTGCCTATATCAGAAAGGAAACAGAAAGGTCCAACCTAACCTCTATAATCTGCTGCAAAGCATCCATGAGATGCTTCTTTCCCTTTTCACAGGGCTCTTCTCCATAGTAAGTTTTGATTCTAAGACAGTCAGCAAAATCAGGAAGGAATTGAAGCTGTTACCACGTAAGGATTTTGTGCAAGTGGGAATTTGAGGCTTTGACAGACTGCAAACTCTGCTGCCCTACAGAACATCTCAGGAAATTTGAGGCAGTTGAGGTTGCTTAGCCTCCATAAAAGAGGGATAAGCAGAGAAGTGCTCAGTGATAAGAACACGCACATACCATTGCCCTCGAACAGGTAACTTTGCTATCCCACTTCAACTTACTCGAGTGTGTGAGCTCTTTGTCTAAGCTGGGATGCAAAATAAAGTTGTTCCCTGTCAGCTAATCGGAGCTGGCTCGAGGGCCAAAGTGTATCCAGGTTATTATTACTATAACTGGATAATCAGACCAGCCATCAAACCCCAGCACTGCACACAGTGAGCCACTGCCAGCAGACACTGCTGCTAAGTCCAATCCAATAGATAAGGAACTAGCTAAGGAAGAAAATTCTGCCTCATTGAAAATCACATTATCCAGCCTGCCACCCTTCACTGGCTTTTGGCTTGTCACACAGACTAATGGACAGGCACCTGGAAAAATACTTGTTGTGAACCAAGGAATGGTTAAGAGACTCTTGTGTTTGACAAAAGCCAATTAAGACGAACTAAATCTTCTATCATGCCTCTTCCAAAAAAAGCACATCTACCATATTGCTTAAAGAGCTCAGTTGTGCTCTTGGTTTTTAAGCAAATGCCAGCAAACAAAAAAGAAATTGACACTCAGTAGGCAAAATAATTAAGAGGAGCAGAGACTTTCAACAGCAGATGCCAGTGACTGGTGACATGTTTCAGTATCCTGGGTGACTCATTAAAGAGGGCATAGCACTGACAAATCTCATGGCAGGTGAAGATAGCTTCCTGAAAGCCATGGATGCCAGTGAGATATTGATGCTTATCAGATCCTTCTGGGAGCATTTAATGGAGTATTAAAATACAAATGATGTGTTTATATTGTATAGTGAGAATAAATGGCCACCACTACTGTGGCTTCTCCCGTAGCATTCATCAAATCATAGAATGGTTTGGATTGGCAGGGACCATAACAACCATCTAGTTCCTACCCACTCTGGGGGGTCACCTTCCACTAGACCAGGTTGCTCAAAGCCCAGCCAACCTGTCCTTGAACACTTCCAGGGATGGGGCAGCCACAATTTCTTTGGGAAACCTTTGCTAGTGCCTCACCACTTTCAGTAAATTCAGATGTTCAACAGTTACCTTGTGCTCCTCTTGGAGGCTCTTGTTTCATGGTCCTGCAAAGATGAGTCCTTGGTATGAATTGAATACAGGTATTAAAGTGTAGGACTAGAAGCAATCTTTTAGGTCATTCAGTCCATTATCTCAGCAATCCTGCTATATAATCCCCTCCAAAATTAATGAACTTCATCCTGAAAGCAGGAAGTAATTTTTTTCCTCGCTGCTATAGAGGCTGTTCTGAAACCACACTGCTCTGATGGTCAAATATCTGATCCAGGTCAAAGTGATGCCCTTCAAACACGCTTATGTTTTGAAGAAGTAACAAAAATGCTGGTTTTGCCTCCTGGCAATAACACACAGTTCTCATTCAGCTCAGAGATCTGAAATACCAACAGTTTTCTGACTCCTAATTGACTTTGAATCAACAGGTTGCAACCATGTCTGAATCCCTTCCTTTACCTCAGCTCAACAGAGAAGTTTGTTCTTTCTCTCAAACAATGACTTAGTACTGATGTTTTTCTGCCAGGCCAGATTATTTTCTGTGGATTTCCTTATAATCAAATCTGCTGTGTTTTTCTATGTATCACCTACTTCCATGGCTTCCAGCCCATGCAATACTTACAGTGCTGGCTGAAGGCCATGATTTTAGTTGCCAAAGCAATCAGGGGATTAGTCCCTGCTCTGTGAAAATCTAGAAATTTTGATCTGTGAACTGCTGCATCTGCACTTCACAGCAGAGCTCACAGTGGATGGAGACTGAGGGTAAGTGTTTCAAATAAGGGAATCTGGCTGCAAAACAGCATTTTGGAGGAACACAAGATCTGATCACTCCTCAGACACTCTCAAACCTTTCTATCTGAAACAGAATTTCCATCATTTCTGTCACCAGGATGACAGCCAAAGAGACAGTCTAGTGAGGATTCAGGTCACTAATTTAATCTGCCTACAATATAAATGTTTTCTTTAGAGATATTTGCTGTAGTCTCCTTTTATAGTCAAATGGGAGGAAAAGGTACTTCTAGCAGGATTTGTATAATCTCTTGGGGATATGGGCTTTAGGGTGATACAAATTGCACTCTCAAAGTAGATTCCTCTCTCCACTGATTGGAATAGCTTCAGATACTTGCTTAGATGCACAATGCAGATGTCTGCTTTTTGTCAAAAGATTGTTAACCCTGCAAGCAAAAGAAACCAAACAGGAAGATCCTCATATTTATATATTTCAAGCAGAATTTTTGCTTGCATAGAAAAAGATGTTACAGGCTTCTACATTCTTTTTTTTGTTTCTTTACAAGCTTTTAGTGGCTTTAACACACTCAAATATTATGCTGAGTGACATTCTGCCTCTGTAGGGTAGATGAAGTGAGTGACTTTATTAGTATCTGTGGAGTTATTTTAATTTATACTTGCACAAAGGAGAGGTGAATAGAGCCCCTAACTTCTTATTCCTGCCTCAGTCAAGACCTCTCTCTGTGACCTTGTGAGAACTGCATTATCTGTTAATTTTCTGATATGTAAAATTAGAATGATCACACTCATAGACTGTTATGAGGTCTAATTAGAAAGTGTAAAGCTCTATGAAATCCTCTGATGGAAGATGCAGAGGGTAGCTAGCCTAGGATAAAGAGGATTAAAGGAGGTTGTGCTAACATAACAAATACTTGAGAAATTATGCTTAGGGGGAGGTGAAATGGCACATATCTGCAGGGCAAGAAATGAGATCAGCAGCCTGTAACTGCTGTCAGCAGACCTCAAATCCACTGACAGCAGTATGTCTACAAAGGAGGTTTGGACAGTGAAATTAATCACTAGCAGAGTTCAGAATCAGGTGAAACACTGTATATTAGTAGGATTATCCTAGGGAAAACACTTTCTCATTTATCCATCTGGAATTTGAGTGGCCTGATGGACCTTTCACAGCCTTTTTTCATCACCATTTTTGAAAGATTCATCAGTGTAACATTTTTATGTGCATGGCTTACCATTCATACCATGAGCAATAAAACCAGGTTTCTGAACATGCAAGACATGCAGTTATTAGAAAACCTTTTCTTTTCAGGAGTTCACCAAATGCCATGCCCTTTTCCAGGAGTGAGCAGGGATTTCTGAATTGCTTTGTGTGCCACTTGAAAGTGCCTTCCATGGAATGGTGCCAGTTCAAAGCTCTTGATAACCAGGACTCCCACATGCCCAACTCTCCTCTTATCCCTTTGGAATGCCATAAAATATATTGCTCCTCATGTCAGGCTGCTATCACTTTCTGACTGTCTTTCTTTGTTCCTCCCCAGGCATCACTGTGGATAAGTTTGGGCTGATTTACTTTGTGGACGGCACCATGATCAGGAGAATTGACCAGAATGGGATCATCTCAACTGTGTTGGGTTCCAATGACTTGACATCTGCTCGGCCTCTCAGCTGTGACTCTGTTATGGACATTTCTCAGGTAAGACAGTGGTTTGGTTTTGTTTTTACAGAATGCAAGCCTACACCTTCACCCTTATCTGCATGTCTGTGTCCTTCCCCAGCAGGTCTGACAAAGAGGTAAGGGCTCAAGGAGAGTTGCATTTCTACATCGTTTATGGTATAAAATTGACCGAATCTTAAAAGAATCGCCCTGTAAAGACAAAAGGAAACACTTGACTGCCCTAACTCATAGATTTCTGGGGTGAGATTTTTAAAGATATCCCAGCCACAGAACAAACTTCTTTCCAGTTCCCTGTCAGTGGGCAGGCACAGATTCCCAGGAAGGCAGGTTTTGTTACACTTAAGTCTCAGAATATGCCATGGACTATATGCCATGCTCCATTATAACATCTTAGCTAATCACAGGTTTTTTTCTTTTCTTCCCCTCGTCCTAATTTGGCCCAGCACAATTTTAGACCTGAATCAAATTAACGTAGGAAATACTGATTGGAGGATGTGGTGCCAAAATTAGCAACAGCAGGAAAACAAGAATCTTGAATTGCATCAGATTGCAAATTGGTTGCAGCTACCATCACGCTGGGCTTTTAAGTCCTGCTGCTTCAAGGTGGAGAGAAAAAAAGAGGAGAGAAAAAAGAAATCTCATTTTGATGATTGCTTTACTGCTGGATGGTGCAGAAGAGAAATCTCTTATAGCCCAGAACTCGGTTTTGTGTGGCACTGGCCAACTTGTCAAATGGTGCAGTGTCCTTTGAAACCTTTGTGCCACTTGTTGTTTGCATGACTGCAGGAATGTTGTTCTCTCCTATGAAAATATAGATCATAGCTGGAGGGCTAAGTACTGTTGTTCAGCCACAATACATGTCAATGGGGTTTCCTTTTTGTAACTACCTAGATAATTTCCATGCTCCCATATGGAATCTGTTCTTGCTTTTTCCCTCTAATTTGAAAGGATTATTCTTGCTTCCTTGCAACTGGCTCCCACTGTCTGTAATTTATGAACAAGCTGAAATTATGACTTTAGAAGTTGTTCTGCCTTGTATAGAGGCAAAATTTTGATGGTTAAAGGCCACCTTGTAGTATGTTTCTCATTTTACAGACATTCTTTCTTCTTTATGTGAATTTCAGGGTCAGTTAGCACAAGACGGTTGTGTAATGGGGCTTTAAAAATTATTTACTTCCAGGTTATGTAGCTCCTATGTAAACCAATGTCATGTTCAAACACTTCTGAGATGAGCATGTATCAGCCAATGACTCTTTTTTTTCTTTTCATAAAATGACAGGAACCATTTTTAGATTAACCTTTACTGGGATTGGCAGATTGACCACTCCTGTTCTAGAGAAACATACTAAATACAAGCTTAATTAAAAAATAAAATCCAGCTTGGGAAGCAGCTTTTCATCATTTACAACGGATAGAAGGGTCTTTTCTGCCAGGTCCCTGAGGCTCCCGGGAACATGAGGACATGAAATATTTAGCTGCCACTGTTGACAAGGAATGGTTTTTAAGAAATTGAAAATTCCCGTGTCAGTTCAGAATAAACTCAGCTCTTGATGCTAGCTGAAGACTGCAGAGCTTAAAGACCACTGGAAGGGATGGAGACATGAATTATTAAAGAGAAAACCACAGGCTATAATGTTTTACTACAAGAAGGGTTAAAATAGGCCAGGAGCTGAGAAAAGGAAGGAGATTTTGCAAGCAGAGAACCAGAGCAGACAGAGCTCAGCAAACTGCTTAGCCATGAAAATAAGCCTCACTCACGCAGGCGTTAGAAGATGCAATGAACCAAATACCTTACATCTGATCCCTTAAGAAATGCTGAAAAGACATACAGAAGCATCAAAATAAAGCATGGCTGTAGCAGAGACGTTTAACTACAGGCCTTAAAAATAGGAATTTCCTTTGTTCCTGGAGATGTTACCTGGTCTCTTCTTACTCAGTTTTAAATAAAATCACAGTGAAAAATGATTTCCTGGACCTGAGTCTGCTGGCATCCACTCCTCCTTCTTCCAATAAAGTTACAAAGTACTCCTCTAAATTTAGTCACATTAGACAAATGAGAAGAAGCAGCAACTGAGATGGATGGTGGGAAAAGAAGGTTCAAAACAAAGAAACTGTCCTGGAACTGATAGGTTATCATCAGCACAAGGCTGGGGGTTTTTTAATATATAAACTTGAAATGAAATAAAATAATCCCAAAAATGCACAACTTTGAGTTCTTTACCAAAAAAAAAAAATTCTGAATTATGTTGGTAACCTTTTTAGGTTTGGCAACTAAAAGAGAAGCCTCACTTGAAAAGAGCGTATTGCAGAAGCAGAGCTAGAAATGAAGTCATTCTAGTGCTTACTCACTTGTGGTCTTGCCAGTCACTGTTTTAGTGGATTATCAGTGTAGAGCTGGGATGTGTAACTCCTGAACCCACTTTTCCATTATATTAAAACAAAAAGTGAAAATCACCGTGAACGCACAAGTATTCTACTCCATGAACTGAAATTGCCTGAATTTCCTGTGAATTGCTATTCTGCATTTTTACAACATAAAGCAGAAAACCACAGGTTATAACTTAGATATTCACACATGCTGGCACAGCTGCCAGTTTTGTGTCTATCCCTCCTTGTCATTTACCAAGAAGAGCTCAGTTTTCACTTGTGTGAAAAATTCTTTAATAAAAGAATCACTGTTTTGTGTGTCTGATTTCACAGCACCTCATACAGAAAAATGTACAGTCCCAGGTCTCTGCTGTGAGGTCCAGCTTCCATCAGTTCAAAAAGCACAGGAGAGGGAAAATCATAGCATGGTTTGCCTCTGTCCATCATCCTGTTCCCATCAGTGTTCAGTGCAGAGTGTGGGTGTCCACATGTGACTGCTTCACGTGACCAGGAGCTAAGCCCCCTCACTCACAACAGGTTATATCCTCTATAGCCACCTATCAAGTAATAATTAGTTGTGGGGTTTTTCACCCATTCCTCCTTTAACCCATGTTGATTCCATCCTCATTGTGCTCAATGTATAGCAATCATGGAGTAGAAGAATGTCTTGCTTTAAAATTTCCCTTGTGTTTTTTTTACCATGAAGGTTCGTCTAGAATGGCCCACGGATCTGGCAGTGAATCCCATGGATAATTCTCTCTACGTCCTCGACAATAACGTTGTGCTGCAGATCTCTGAGAACCACCAAGTGCGCATCGTGGCAGGGAGGCCCATGCACTGCCAGGTGCCAGGCATGGATCACTTTCTCCTCAGCAAGGTGGCAATCCACGCCACGCTGGAGTCTGCCACCGCCCTGGCCGTGTCCCACAACGGGGTCCTGTACATCGCCGAGACCGACGAGAAGAAGATCAACCGCATCAGGCAGGTCACCACCAACGGGGAGATCTCCCTGGTCGCCGGCGCCCCGAGCAGCTGCGACTGCAAGAACGATGCCAACTGCGACTGCTTCTCCGGGGACGACGGCTACGCCAAGGACGCCAAGCTCAACGCGCCCTCCTCCCTCGCCGTGTGCGCGGATGGGGAGCTGTACGTCGCCGACCTGGGCAATATCCGGATCCGCTTCATTCGCAAAAACAAACCGTTCCTTAACACACAAAATCTCTACGAGTTATCCTCACCCATAGACCAGGAACTCTACTTGTTTGACACCAGTGGGAAGCACCTTTATACTCAGAGCCTTACCACTGGAGATTATCTTTACAATTTTACTTACTCTGGAGATGGAGATATAACCCTGATCACTGACAATAATGGCAACTTAGTCAATATCCGAAGAGATTCCACAGGGATGCCCCTCTGGCTGGTGGTGCCTGATGGCCAAGTCTACTGGGTCACAATTGGTACCAACAGTGCACTCAAGAGCGTAACAACACAGGGGCATGAAGTAGCCATGATGACTTACCACGGCAACTCTGGTCTCCTTGCCACTAAAAGCAATGAAAATGGTTGGACAACATTTTATGAGTAAGTATTTTATGAATATTGGGGGTGCTGACTTCATTCTGTGTTCTCTGAACCGTGCAAGGTTGGTGGAATTTAATTCCCTGATCAAAATTATTGTCCAAATAAAATGGCCAGAACAGAGAGTATTAGAATTCACTCAAAAAATAGATACTGGCAGTAAGTGCATTAGAGCTTGAATAAGCTCCCGCTACCAAGTCAAGAGTCAGGCAAAATTTCTGCTGAGTTTTTTTAAGTAATTTGGACACCTGGTTCTCCTTAACTGTAGTCAGGACTGGAGATTTAGGTTGCGTGTCAGAGAATTTTTCTTGGCTTTGAAAGCCTTGGAAGTATGAAAGTTCCATCAGAGCCTCTTTTCACAGCTTTTCACCTACTTCCTATGCTGCAGTGTCTTTTTTATGCCTGTTTGAAATGTCTGATGTGGAATGACAATTGGCAATGACTAATGAGAGCTTGCTCTGGAAACAATTCTGTAATTAATGGACTGCTCAATTCCTACTGTTGCAATTTGCCTCACTAAACTTTAAAAGTAGTCTTGGAACTGTTCAATAATATCCCCAAAGAGTTTTTAAGCAGAGAGAAGACAGGATGCATTGGAAAAAGCCAGAGATGGCCATATGTACTTCTTTTCTGTACTACTGTTAGGAATTCCCTGCTTATAAATATAGTGAAGACAATTTCTGATATAAAAAAGGACAAAGATAACTGAGTGAAGAGCACCTAGAAGGATTCATCCTGCTGTTCAGAGCCCATTCCCCTCCCTTTGTTAATATAATTTTTATTTACATGTGTAACCTCTTTGAAATACTCCTTTTAAGTGCATCATTTCCCAAATGGTTTGAATGGTTACATGGAAGCATTCAGCTGCCATAATAATAGCCCCATTGTAAGAATCCAATTTGGCTAAAATACGTAGTTCCCAAGATGACAAACAAAAAAGTTGTTAAAAAAAAAGAGATTCAGTAAAGGAAAGCTGGCTAAACCCATAAACACACATATCTGTGTGTTGATATGTGGTTGCTTTGGTTCTCTCCTTAAAATGTTCCAGGCCCAGTTTAAATTTCTTTGCTTAATACTCACTGCTCCTGCTCTCGCCTTGAAAAGAACTGATGGAAACTCTGTGATGAACCTTTTGAAATGTTATTAGCATTTCATCAATGTTCTGCTTGCAATTACTGTAGCAATATTCCTCAGTGAATCCAAGATGATACTCTCCATCTCTTACATTGAATTTGCCTGAGGAAGGCCTTAGGGAGGAAAAAGAGGGGGCTTTTCTCCACAGGAGTGAAAGCCAGCTATATTGTCAGGACCATTGTGCTAAATCAAGGAGGTATTTCGTTTTTGCAAAGAGCCCAATAGTTTCTGTGCTTGAAAACAGATGCAGCCACAGACTGTGAAGCAAGCTAAACATTACAGCTAATAATGGTCAGATTTATACCTCAAACATAATCTTTTATTTTAAAGTGCAACTGAAAATATAAAGGAGATAAAATAAGGCAGAAGCTCAAAACCAACTTGCTCTGTGGATGTATTTATAACAGTGATCCATTATTCTTGCTGTCCAACAAAATAGAGCATTTGTGGAAGTCATCATTCTGGTCCTTTTATGCACTTCAGAAGAGTCATAAGAAAGCTTTTTAGAGCTAAATGGAAGACAGTATTCTCCAGTGGCTGAACTATGGAAATCTTGACTAGAGCAAGTCAGCACTGTATGGTAGCACAGCGTCACTGAATATAGAATTGTGACTGTGCTTTCAGAGATGGCCTCATCCAAACCTGTGATCACTTATCTCTCTTTAACTGTTCCTGACAGTTTCTGATGCAACTATATAAAACTATGGAGTAAAAGTCTGTATCTGAATTAATTACTTCAGCCTCCCTTTACAGGCAAATAGAGAGAAACAGGCCTGTTCAAGGTGAGTCTCTTATGAGTATTTCCTTTAGGTATTTCCTTTAGGATGAGAAGAGTTATATTCTGAAAGTTTATCTCTGCGAAGGTAGTAGAGAATGATGAGTTCAGATACAGATTTTTACATTGCAGATGTCTACAGTTTGGTCAAATGGATCCTCTCAGCAATCTGAGTTATTTATAAATATTGCTAGTGATAACAATGTATTTACCTATATTATTGTTACTGTTAGAAAGCTTTTTTTATATCCTCAGCCTAAATCTTCTATGCTTGAATTGGAGACTATTCTTTTTCATGTCCTATCCTATCCTATCCTATCCATAGGGACTTGGAAGGCAGATCAGTGCATTAGAGGGATTGATTCTGTCCAGGTTTTGCATGTGCAACCAGGGAAAGAATATAAAATCAGGCTGATGAAATGAGAATAGGAAGTAAGGGTCAATTATTTCAATTGCTCAATAAAGTAGGTTTCATTTAAACAAAATATATTCTTGTACAGTCTGATGCCAGGGTACACGTGTAAGTGGGCTTAGCTTTGACCCTCAGAGTTGTAGCAAGGCATCAAGTCTTCAGTGTGATTATCACATGATTCCATGGCAAATCTGTCTAACTTGTTGTTTGGATGGACAAACTAAATTAATACATTTACTCATCACACACTACTTGTAGTAGCTAGTAGGAAGCTGATTTTTTCCCTGTGCAGTGTTGATGTGACTAATATTGTCAAGTCCGATGCAGTTTATGAAGAACAGTGGAAATTGAAGGTTGGGAAGAAAAACTCTACAAAAATGCATTTATGGAGAGAGCAAGAAAGACTTGATCTATTTATCTCAACATGAATGAGACTGGGAAGTGTCCAGATCACAACATGTCAGCCAAAGCTCTCACCTAGAGAGGGACTCTCAGTCTAGCAGAGAAAGGCTTGAGAAGGTTATGGGGCTGGAAAGCAAGGCTAGAGAAATTCAAATAAACAATAACCTGTGATTTTGTAAGGCTGAGATCCCTAACTGGTAGAGTGACCAACCATGAAAGCAGTATATTCTCTGTTTCTTGGTATCTTAGATCAGGAATCTGAGGCCTTTCTTAAAATGTAATCTCACCAGACAGAGGCTTTGCATGACTCAAACACAAGCTGCAGGGATAAGTGCAGGCATGGCAGGATGAAGTCTAAATTCCGTATTATCAAAGAAGCTGAAGAAGATGGTGTAAACCAAATAAAATCAACATTCACTATCTTCATGTTATTGGTTTCTCTATCAGAACATCAGGAAATTGGGAAGGTTTAAGTGATTTAGAGCATTCCTGTGAGCATGAGAAGGTGCTCTAAAGTAGTTTTCAGTCCTGAGTGATGGGAGGGGTGAAGTTCCTATTTCTGTTTTGCTCATGGCCAAAGAAATAAAGGCATCAAATCTGACTCTGAGGAAAAGTTTTACATTTCTCACAGCACACAGTAGTTGTTTGAGGGCCAGGACAAGCTGGACACTTCTGCTAAAAAGTTAAAGAGTAAAGTAAATCCAGCTGGCAAGTTTACACTGCACCAGTGGCCCCATGAAGAACATTCTCGAAAGATTTACCTTCACCTGACTGTTCTACAAAGGACCATAAATCAGAAACCAAACATGACAGAGCAGTGGTGGTGTGAGAGTGGCCTCACTACACATGTTCATCATGGAATCACAGCATCATAGTATGGCTTGAGTTGGAAGGGACCTTAAAGAACATCTAGTTCCAGCCAACATAGCCAGCATCTCTGGGTCTCCTCCAGGTGCTGTTCTTACAGGGCATTTCTAAATTTTTACCATAAGTCTGCGAAGATCTCTGACATGTGGGGACATTGGTGTCACTCTGGAAAGGAGGGAAGAAGGCAGGATATACTGATGCAGTACTGGAGGTCTTTTTCCAGGGCACACCAGGGAATCCAGGTCCTCCATGGCTTCATGCTGGACTGGCACATTGTCCCTTCGTTTTGTGGGACCAAAGAGAAAGACTAGTGCTGGCTTCAGACATGGCAGACTTGCTCACAGCACTTACAGCTCTTCCTCTCACACATCCTACACTCAAGCCTGCTCTAACAATCCTGTTTTATCAGGTTTAGCTCTGAGTAAGCCTCAGTGTATAATGGTGTGCAGTTTCTCTTTTTGTTTGAGAGTGAAACTTAGCTCCCTACAGTAATTAGCCTGTCCCCAAAGACCTATGACTACTTCGAGGAGTTTAGCATTATATAGACTTTTCCTGCCCCTGCAGTGAGCTTGACATTAGCTGTCAGTTAATGCAATGCCGCTCAGCTTGTCCAGTAACTGGATTAAAGACGTTTCTTCCCCTTGAACTGATAACAGTGACAGTGATAATCAGCAGCAAAAGAAGTTGATCTGGAAACTCAGGCAGGGAAACAACTTCTTGTTCAACTCCTCCAGTCAAAGACAAAGGATGCTATGTGACTACTTGCTGCTTTGTTGTTGCTGCTTTTTAACTTGACCTGAAAAACAATTGCTACCAGCCTTTACAAAGTTTCTTAGCAGTTGATGTTTGTCTGCTTCAGAATCCGGAAATTCTTATTAATGGATTTGTTTAAATCAAGAATGTGGCAATTATCTTGATTCGTTCACTGAGATGTTATCACTGTACATTAATTCAATTTCCCTCTGAGCCAAAGTCAAACCTTCTATGCATTATTTAGCCCAGATGAGGCTCTTGTACTTAGGTCCTTTGTGTGTCCAATTAGTTTTGAAGGTCACCTCCTCCCATACAGACTCAAACACTTACACATTGCTTCAGCCAAGCCCAGAAATTCAAAACCTTTTCATGGACTCCCCAAGAAGTGGCTCACAGCTGCCTGGAGGGCAAAGGGTCTCATGGAGCCAGATCTTCAGATGAGTGGTAAGGGGAGCTTTGACTCGTAACACTGGAGGCTGTTTTACAGAGAACCAAACTCTGCCAAACCTCACACACTATAATGGATGGAAGGTAGGAGCCAGCTGGACTGAGCATCCAGGAGGACCTTGAATGGCTTCCCAGTGACCCCCAGGGCTCAGCAGAGGTCCCAGAGCCAGCAGCTTTTGATGCCAAAGCCAATGCCCTGGTCTGTGTGACTGT